TCTTCACTTCTCGAAGGTATTGCACTGAAGCACTGCTAATGAACAGTAATCCTGCTTTCTACATTTGTATTACTTGAGCGGTATCCAGAATATTGTTAGCACTTACGATGAACAACGGAACAAATTCCATTCTGAATTCTGTTCAACATCGCAAAGTTAACTTTGCGACCAATTTGTCCCTTCTATCTGCTAATACCAATATAATGCTGTACTTACCATCTAATGTGGATTTTTATAAACTTTCGAACTCTTATTGATTGATAAAATGATAAAAATAACGGTCTGGATCCAGTGTGGCTTACTCCAGCACATGTATATCACCTCTCTTCTTACATTCCATTAACGCAAAATTTCATAATTCCCTCATGAATCTGACTCACTATGAGTATATTAAATATTATAATTTAGACTTGAACCAAAACCTTATATTCTATTATTATAAAGTTTCTAGAGGTCATTTTACAAATTTTAATTTCATAAAACAGTGTTCAATTTCAGACTGCACTTGTCTAATATGATCATGCCTGTACAAACGGTATGTGAATCATGTAAATGCTTAATTTATGTGAAATATATATTATTATTATTAGAGACACTATGGCTAAGACGCCTGAGACTAAACTTAACACTTTACTATAAACTTCTAAACCACTTAGTTTTTACCTCTACTAATGGCACTCGACTTTCAGATGACAATGGCTACAAACTAAGACACACTAAGGGTACAGTGGCTATCGAACAATGTAAAACAGCCACCAGACAAAAGTTTTACTTGATTAGGTATGCACAGATATGGAATAAACTACCAATGGAAATGCGTCAAGCAGGTACATTGGCCTTCTTCAAAAAAGTGCTTAACGACAAACTACAAGAGTCTGCAAATGATAGTAGTCCTAGTTCCCATCTGAGAGCCTCCGAAATTATAGGTCCATTTAATGTATAAGCTTAAATACTACACCTGTTGTTTTTTGCCTATATTTATAATTTTAGATAAAACAACGATTAAGATACTTACCCTCAAACAGACAAAAAATTTCATCTGTAAAACCTCTACCCAACACAATAAGTGGAATAAAATAGCCATAAACCGACAACATGAAAAAGATATAACTCACCACAACATCACATGGACAGATGTACGCTTGTTGGGCATCATATATGTCTCACCAGCTACAACCCAACTTTCCTAAGATAATGTGATGAACTTATATTCATAATGTTGCTGAGCAGTTAATATTCTCAACTCCTGTCGGAACAACTAAAATTCAAAAACCTTCCTCACGAGAAGTAAATACCCACAAGCAGTAGAAATCCATTAATTAATGCATCTAGAGCTTATGTATTTTGCTCCCAACAATGACATTGCAGATCAAATGAGATAAACAAATCACTGATTTCAAAATAACACATCAATGAACTATAATTTAAGGATTCTGCACACAACAAAGTGATGTACGAAAATTGACCACAAGCTTTATTTTTTTCCCGGGCACTTATAACCCATCCACCAAAGACCTGGTTCATTTTGTTAATGCGAAGACAATACTTTTGTATTTCCTGATGTGTTGCACTCACTGATAATCTAGCAGATTTTTCCAACTATGCACAGAAATGATTGTACATGAGTGAAAAGGCTGTTTTATACTATTGGGATTAACATTTATCAAGTGTGTGTATAATCTCCAGCGTACATGTTAAACATATTTTGCTATCGACCGTAAATTGTGACTGAATAATATGGTCCTATTTCTGTAACAATTTGATGATGCCTGTAAACTGGCATCTCTCATGTACTGTACCGTGAGAATAAATCTATTTATTTATACGTCACCGTCACTAGAACTGAGGCAAAGTGAGTGACAAATCGATAGTGAATGGATATGAGGATGTGCAAAGAGTCTCATGAGGTGCTGCTACGGCCACGTTGCGTTCTGCAAGGGTCATTCTAGCAAGTGGCGATTGTGTTACAAGATGTCAAGAAGATGCCTTTAACTGGAAGGCGTAGGTCGTAATCGATGTGTGAGATTGTGCTGTGGGTATGTCTGTGGTGTGTTTACTTTGCTGTTTGTTTTCCATTTGAACCTTGTCCGAGTGGTCCAGGTTCTCGCACTGGAGTCCAAGTCACCATGTACGGGTAGTGATGGAAAAAAGAATGGATCCGATTTTTTCCGGGGAGTGTCAATGTAGTTGAAGATTGGTTGTTTGCTCAAACCCAACTCTCTATTTTGGCGGGAGTCATCGACACTGAAATCATCGTTTCACCGCTCGCTGTTCGTTGGAGGACAGAAAAATCTATCTGAAGTATTTTTGTGGTTTATTTTCATGACATCTATTTTTAGACCTTGTGTAGAATAACCTAATATTTGGCTCTGTATTGGCACAAGAATAAACAGTTCTCGAGTCATCAATTTGTGTTCTGGTTTTTTTTGCGTTGGTTATTATGCATAGTTCCTGGAAGTCTTCCAAGGACAGTGTGGAGTCTAGCGTAGTTAGACTTGGACATTGACAACATGCTTTGCTCAGAAGTGTGACATTACACAGAGTGGAAGCATCTGTGTCATTGACAACGTTTGGAGTCACATTTCCACTTAGCACTAATCTTAACCCCAATATTACTTACCATATTATACTTCTTAACACACAAGAAAGGGTTCAGGGATCACGATCAGAAACCAGCAGTCTTTTCATATCTCTCAGTTTCAACGGTCACTTCTCACATTTGTAGAAATGAGCTTTGTATCGTATCCTTCTTATAAATATCAGTTCCCTCATTGTTTAGTTTCAGTATTAAATGAATAGAATACAATCTACAGATTCATGAAATTCACATACTGACGTACTTCTTTTCTGAAAACCTAGTTAACGTCTCCTCAGTAAAGTGAGAAATGGGTGTTTTACTTGTGTAAATTCAATAGGCTGTGAACTGCTGTCATTGAAAACGACAGCAATTCTTGGAATTACCGAATATAATTTTAGCTTGATCGCGTGCAACATTCAGCCGTTGTTAAATAGCCACTTGTTGAACATCGAATCCATACGGAAAGTGCAGAAGATATGGTGCAACTTGCACACTCCTGATTTCACTATGAAGCATCCATGCTAAAAATAAATTACTTTATAGGGGCCTACACAGTTCACAAATTAACTCACAACACTGAAGTGGAAAAATTTGTATCCATAAATATAATGGGCTTACTATAGCAAATCTTGTGAAGTAACTTTCTCATTCAGAAGAATGTGGCGAGGTTTTCGTAATCTTTTACCACATGTGGGATCGCAGTGCAACCCGAAGCGCAGTGGTATATATATGAATAAACTGAAAAATAATGTCCCACTTACCTTCTCAACAACTTGTCCTTATTACAGGAAAACAAATTTCTTTCACCTATGAGCCTAAGTTATGTCTATGAAATCGCAATGTTACATCAATTAAATCTTCTCCCAAAATCAAGGTCACTTGAAACCAATAGCAACAAGCATCATAGCTGGGACATGCGTTAAAGCCACTCCATTTTTTCCACCACTAAATCCTTTCGAACTAAAAGAACACCCGTTCTATTACATTTAACCGCCATCCTAGTCGAATTCAGACAAGGGAAATATTCCGTGACCAGCCTCTTAGTGATGCGTTTGTACGTTTGAATGATGACATAAATATTCCGAAGCTTGAGAAAATTTTGGTTCATATACACCATACATTGCTGTCTTGTTCGCCCTCTTAATTCCAATAATTAAAGGAACCTGGTATATATCGTCTCATCCGTTTTCCTTATTAGGCAACATGATATTCAAGAAAACCTGAGGCATTACATTAACTCCGAGGATAGAGGATAATTTTATGCGATAATTTTACGCAGTATAACGAAGATTTGCCAGACCATTATTTGCTCACTGAGAAATGCCACAATATTTTAAATTTCATTGTTTAGAACGCCACAACTTCTACATCGACTAATAAGTACATTTTAAAATCTCTATGACTTGATCCAGCGACCGAATCATACAGCCGGTATTCGAAAACCAAAATGAAAGAGCAAGGATGGACCGTGACAAGGGATTGTATCACTTGAAATCATGAGCAGAATTTGTACTTCTCAACAACCAAGATACTGAATTCTTCGGATGAGTCTCTTGGAAATACAGCGAAATCTTTAAGAGAAACCTTTTAAAGGAATGTAATGAGAACAATTCATTGCCTAATTGGGCTACTAAGATATAAGTCGCACTCTATAAAATAGATTTTTTGATTTTTAAGATATCATCCAAAATCTTTTTAACCTATTTCTACAGGAGTGACCATGTAGCACTGCTTCCTCTACATCTACGACCAGTCGCACAGGAAACGACCAAATTAGTGAAGAGCAGGAGAAATCTTGTTTCTTGAGGAAGAATAGACCACATAAAGAACTGACGATCGAATAAGATGCATATATTCAGCACTTATTTTGATACATTAAACAGATACTCATTTATGTTTTACATTTATCGGTGAAAACAGGAATAAAAGCACGACGTTTTAACGTCTGTCGACTGAATCAGACTGACAACGTTGTTTGTTATTAAGTATATTGGTCTTTGCGACTTAAATAACCTGTGTTAAAATGAATGCTGAGGTAAATCCGCCTTATTTTCACTGTGAAGGATGGTGAGTTGTGGAAAGTACGCCATATTAATAAGTCCAATTCACTCCTTTAACAGTTTTTATCCGTACACGAAACCGCGCCTTATGAAAACATATTTTGTTCTCGCTGCCTGTGAGATAGATGGGAAATTCTCATTCTCCAAAGAAGTGCATTTCCGAAGAAAGTAATATTGCTTTAATTACGAAAAGTTAATTTTCAGTCGTTGAATACCTGGAGACAGCCAAGAGAAACTATCTTGAGAAATATCACAACCCAAGAATTGTAAGTTGAAAAATAGCATTATTTTCAAAGAGACTTGCTGCCTTAGATGAATTCAAACAGCTCAGAACACTTGGGACGGGATCATTTGGTCGAGTTATGCTAGTTCAGCATAAAAAGTCATCCGACTTTTTTGCTTTAAAAATACTTGATAAAGCCAAAGTATGAATTATTATGCCTTGAGCGATTCCCACTCTCACAGGTAGTAAAGCTTAAGCAAGTTCAACACACCTTAAATGAGAAGAGAATTTTACAAGCTGTCGATTTCCCTTTCCTCATTCATTTGGAATACAGATTTAAGGTTTTTGTATTTCATATAATATTGAAATTCAGAATGAAATATACTTATTTTTAGGACTCGAATATGTATCCGGTGGTGAGATGTTCTCATATCTGCGGCGCAAAGGAAGATTCAGGTTAGCCTCACTTAGTAGTTTAATGCATTCTTGTAGTGAATCTGCTGCACGCTTTTATGCAAGTCAAGTAATACTGGCTCTAGAATACTTACACTATTTGGAATTAATATATCGGGACCTAAAACCAGAAAACATATTGTTGGATCCTGCCGGCTACATCAAGGTGAGAAATGCTTTTGATGTGTGAATGTTTAAATATTTTTTGCATACCAAATACCTTTAATTTATCAAACCAACTGAAACTCATTCTCATAAATTTTAAGCCTGATTATTTTCGATTATTAAATCGCCTTTCATATATGTGCCACAAATACTGGTGAATCCTGAACATAATGATGTTAGGTTATCGGCTGATTCGATTCAGCCACAGATAATTTTTGTGGGCATCTTAAAATGTATTCCCTCACTGTCTATATTCTAATCAGGTTTTTTATCGTCCACAGCCTACGTTGATGTAGGTGTTTTTCAAACTGATTTTTCCTCAACTAATAGGTATTTTTGGTTGACTGTCTGCGCTGTATTTTACATAGACATCTGTTTGTTAATAAAGAAGGAATATAGAATAGCTTTATTAATGTGAATAATTTATATTATGTATGCCAAATAGACTCAGCAGTTACACAAATTTAAACGTGATACGAATGGTTTAGAACAACACATTTAAGCTGGCAACATTGTTTTCAATTAGATATCATCAGACTTGACTCTAATATACATAACTTCACAAATGGATATTTAGATATATAGTAATCATTGTGGTTTTTCAATAGGTTAGTAGGATTGTGCACATAAATTTCGCAATTACTCATAACAATATTAATCATAATAATAGTGGTTTATCAATAACAAGGATGAAAAAGTGAGGCGATCTGTGATAACAAGAATAACGAAAGCAGCATTATTTGACAAACAAATGTTCCTGTAGATGAGGTTGATAAAGGCTAAGAAAAACAAATGGACCGACTAAAGAGTGCTAAATTGTGAATAAAATACGTCTTATTGAAGATGTGATAAGATTAAGAGATGATAAGAGAGGGGATGAATATATATATATGTATATAAGTAAGGCGTGATGCAGAAATCATCATTTGATTGAGTGTTAATAAACCAAGGGAGGAATAATGGTCGTACGAACATCTTCTGAATGCATAGTTTAGGCTTGATAGTTTGAATGCCCATTGCCTCAATTCTGTGCAGTAGACGAACACGATGTCTATTGGAAAGATTCGGTGGAAATACAATGAATTTCCTTGAAAGCTTTCGCCTTTTCCATTACACGACTACTATCAACTAAATGTGATAAAATAGAGATACGGATTGATTTTGTTTGTCCTTTGGCATGATGGAAGATGTTCACTAACACGTTAGCTAAGCTGTCTAGTAGTACGCCCAACACAACCGCAGGTGTATTTGAATTGGGAAATGCACATAGATGTGACAAAACTGTCTAGTTTACCCTTTATTTGCGTCCCTATCATTCGTCAGATAGAGAATAATAAACATAGGTGCACTGCGTAGAAAGTTCTTCGTATGCTCCCGGAAAGTCTCTGGAATAAAATCTCACTTGAAGTCACCATTAAATTGTAACTTAATAAATAGAGGTTTTCCATGTGCAATCATAGTCTTCAGTTTTCTCTCTAGTGTTTCTTTATGAAACTAATCGGATAGTCAATCTGCGTCAAGGAATCATGAATATATTCAAATTCCTTTTGTAAGTGTTCATCCGTACATATCTTTCTTGCTCTGCTCGTGAGACATTTAACGACATTTCCCTTATACTCAATGGGCACATAATTAAGGAAGTGTGTATTGCCTTATGAATGTGCTTTTCCTTTACACGCTTCTTCCGTGTGACCCATCTTGCCTACTAAGCAAAACGTCTAGAAAATGTAGTTTATCATCCTTCTGCTTTTGACAAGCAAAATTAAGAGAAGGGTGGATTTTGGTGAATTTCATCAACAATTCGACCTTGCTTGCATTCGCATCAACTAAGACAAACGTATCATCAACATAACGGTGATACATTTCCAACTGCTTGATGATGTCTTTGAATTTCCTATTTTCAGGTTTTGCAAGGAAGAATCCTTTACACCACACAGTTAATTACCTTTATTTTTATCCACTTAGTCTTTTTTTACGTATAAACTATAGGTGTTCAAGACAAGTAGATACATAGGCTAGAAACCAAAAAAAACTACTTGTAATTGCTGACATCAAATTTTCGTCAAGTTTGAAGTTACTAGATCATTCCAATCTGCATCACACATCGTGCGATTTGAGCTTTTGAAGTGGCGATTGAAATCACGTCAACATAGTTTGTCTCTTACTTTTACAGAGACAAACTATTTTGAAGTGCTCTGTAGGATAGTACCTAAGAGATATAACAGCAGTAGAAGCAGACCATGTAGCTATTTATTCTTTGGCCAAGAACTAAAAATGCAGTACCTGAAAACATTTAAAGATATACATTACAACCACATTCACTCTGTATACTTTGGACAATTTCTTCTTATATTCCGTATACCGGCACGTTTGGCATTATAAGTGTTAACAGGATAAAAATACTGAGTTTCACACAGGCAGTGCCATAGAGTTATTTACCGACCAGTTTGTTTAATTTTCAGTCTTATAAATATTTGGTTACGTATTCAATGGGAAATATTTTTGTAAATCGGGGCTGATAACAGTGGCTACATTTATTTCTATGTCAAAATATTCTGAAAATTTTAAGAATTAAAACCAGTCTACGAGATCATTTGTGTTCACTGAGAGGATAAACAGATATAGACCAAAATCAGTGACAGTTAAACTGTATCCTTTGCAAAATACTTCGTACTTAAGGAAATGTGTTTGCTGCAGACCTAAAATTTTCCCCTTTACACCTTATTGATGAGATGTATTACACCACCCTCAAGTGAGATTAGGAGGAAACACTCATCTTTAAAAATTGTCAACTTCTTCATGTCCTGCATTTTCACTAGTTATGTCTCATAGCCGTAATAAAAGAATGGAGATAGCTACCATGCAGTACACACGTTGGCACATACAACTCCATAATTAAGCAAGATACAACTACGCTAATGTCAACCATTAACACCTTTCGTTTATCGTCATGGGACTCCATAGGCGCTATTATTGTTATCATTACTATTATTCCCTTGAGTTCCGAGTAGAACATAGGGTTTCAACAACACATCTCCACTTTGTCCTATCTTCTGCCGTTCTGCTCAACTTGGGCCACAATTTCCCGCAATCTCTCATCTCCTCACACTATTTTCTCTTTGTCACCATGGCACCGACAACCTACTCGTCGCTTCCTATTCGGATTCCACTCGAGCAGTGGCCTGGCGCGCGATGTGATTCAACGGTTTCCTCAATCTATGCCAGATCCATCTCCATTTTCTCATACATATTTGTTGAGCGATCGGCTCTTGGTTGGTTTTTTCCCACAGTTTCTTATAACTTATTCTTTCTGGCCATTTGATCTTGAGTGTGGCGCAGAGGCAGCTGTTGATAAAAGTCTGCAACCTGTTGGAAATCCCTGTTATGACACGCAGTGCAAGTTTCTGACCCGTAAAGAATAACTGACTCACTGACTTCAAATTTATGTTGAAAATTCGAATCTTGTTATTTATGCTGAGGCGGAGTGCAGTTTAGAAGATTTCCGAATTGGTTTCAGGTTGATGAAAGCGTGCGTTTCTTGCCTTTCCGATTCTGGCTGACTTTTACATCTTCATCCGTTCCGGCTGCCTGAAGTTGAAACGATGCTGGCATCGTAGATAAGCAACCTCTGTTAAGTCTCTACCGTTAATGGTGATTGATTCCGGTTGTTGTTATTGTTGTTACGGTTCGTTAGATATCTTTATCACCTCTGTTTTCTTTATGTCCGTCTACAGTCCTATCTCCGCTGCCTGTTTCTTCAGCCAGTTTGTAGGTTTCCGTCTGCCTGCCTGTAATTCTCCGAGTTTGTTTAACATTAGATATATATTTTCTGCAAAATCCAGATTTTCTAGAGTCTTCTCATCGGTGGTCCATCTTATGCCTGTCTCCTCGCCCCCGAGCATAGTCTGACGCATAATCCAGTCCACCACAATTAGGAATATCATCGTGGGTGATAACAGGCAGACAGCCCTGTCTTACTCCTGCATGCACCTCGAATGCCTCGCTGAGTTTTCCGTTGTTCCCACTGCATTAAGGCTTTGGCTGTCACTGGTGACATCATGGTAGCCATTCACTGTCTCAGTGTGCTTGTGGTTGCGTCTGTGTGACCAGACTGGGGTAGATTGCTGACTCGCTGAGTTTCACATTGTAGTTCACCTGACTAACACGTAGCATTGTCATACAGCTAACTGTTGAATGAGGTTGATAAAGACTTGGGTACTGCACGCCGTAGTGTTGAAGTAGTTTCCAAATAACTTCGATGCTCTGTCGAAGGCCTGTTTGAAGTTAATGAAGTTGAGGTAGACAGAGGTCTGACTGCCATTCTATGCTTTGTTCTGTGATGACGATGCATAGAGCTGCAATTTGACCAGCATATGACTCGCCTTTCCTGAATCCAGCTTGTTCCGCGTGGGATTCTGCATCAAGTGCATCTTTTATTCTCTCTAGAATGATGTGACTCACTATTACACTTGGCGTGGACAAGAGCATTATTCCATGTCAGTTCTCACAGAACGAAGCCTAAGTCATCCTTCTTCGGCAGTTTGACGAGGCAGCCTTTCTTCCAGTCAGTAGCCACCTTCCCTTCTTTCCGAACGTTTTGCAGTAATGGAGCGAGAACATCTGCCGTAACCCTGGATCCGTCTTCAGTGCTTCGGGAGGAATTCCGTCTGGTCCTGCCACCTTCCCGGCAGGCGTTCAGTAGCTTGATCTCATTCAGGATTTCTTCCTTCGTTGGAGGAGTGGGGTCCACTGGCAGGCTGTTTGTGCGTGTTGTTGTTGTTATTTCTGGGCGAGTTGCGGGTAGTGTTCGATTCTGGAGTCCTCTGAAGTGACTAGCCAATTCTTTCATTTGTTTCTCCCCCCTGGTAATCTTGTTTCCTTGAGCATCTTTTATTGGTTTCATCAACTCGGTTGATTTTGTTCCGGATAGAGACTCGGTTATTTGGTATAGTCTCTTGATTTCGCTTTGTCTACGGCTTGTTCTGCTTCAGTTGCCGGCCAGTGTGTCGTACAATTGTCGTTTGT